TACATAATAGCAAAAAATATAGTAATAAAAATTAAAAAAAATTAAAAGAAATTGAAAGTAAAAATGAAGTTTTTATCTTTCCGCATTCAAGAAAAAGAAAAGAAATGAAAAAGAAAAAAAGAAAGAATAAAAAGGAAATTGTTTGAAAATTTGAAAATGTGAGTACACTGAAATAGACTAAAATAAAATGATGGAAGTAAAGTAGAATTTGAAAAAATTTACACAAAAGTAAAAAATATAGTAATAAAAATTAAAGGCAGATATTTTTAATAATTGAAAATAAAAATGAATTTTTCTCTTGCTATATTCAGGAAAAAGAAAGTATTGTAAAAGAGAAGAAGGAAAAAGAAACAGAAAAATAATTGAACAGATGATCCTGGTAACAGATTGAAGTAGGACTGAAATTGCCTCATTTTCCCCTAGGGGTCAGTCCATGTAGCTCTTTATAGTCCATAAATTAAGTCAACGGTGAGGTTTGTGTTCTTGAAGAGCGAAGTTGGCCCAGTTGGGCAGGGCTTGGTGTAACAGCTCCACTCTCCAGTAGATGGTGCTGCTAGCCTACTGGGGTGGATTGTTGCGGTGCTTGTCGGTGCGCATGCGCATGCGAGCAAGCGGTGAAAACGGCCCCACCCAGCCACACAGTCTTCTCCTGGATCAGCAATCACACACCAGTCCTCTGTCTTCAGCTCTTGTCCACTTCCCGCTTTTCCACTCTCCGTGACCAGGCCCCAGGCAGTACCTCTCTCCCAAGTTTTGTCTCGGATGTGGCTGTTTTCCCCGGCCCCTTTCTTCTGAAGGACTGCGGCCTTGACCCGCTCCGCTCCTCTGCGGGAGGGTGTCACCGAGTAATGGCTGAATGAGCAATGGCCGAATGTCGGCTGCACCCAGGAACGCCCGCTGGACCCTGCTATTGCCGGTGCCCCGAGACTGTGGCCAGGTGCCAGCCCGCCCCCAAAAAAGATCGCAAGACAGTGTAGCCTCAGTGTTTCAGGGACCATGGAAAATCACAACACACATCTGGCACCAGGCTTCATGCTCAACAACCTTGCCCCAGCATCAGCAAATGTGGCTGCCTTCCAGGGTCTGCTGGGACCAAGTGGCTTCAATAGTTTCTACCAAATGTCTTTCCAGCAGTGGAACCGCTTTTCCTCGTGTGGCCTGAGAACCTCCTGGACCCCACTATGTTCCTGGGGATTCACCTTTCCCACCAGAGCTCCGCCAGGTATCGAGCTGCAGAGTTGCAGCCTTTGTGCTCCCCTTGTTTACAGTCTTAATGGAATTTAAACCCTCTCCTTTCTCCTTTCTCCCTTTTTAGTTTAGTTCCTGTGGCTGTTTCCAATTTTCCACTTTCTCTCCAGCTGCTTTTGGGGAGGGGTGCTTTTCCTGTATGCTCCCCCCCCCCCAGTCTCCATCCTCTCTCTGCCTGCAAAAGGGGTTCCCTACTTTTGGGGGCTTCTTGCTCCCCAAGTTCAGCTCTTTGTGTCGTGTACCTGCTGAATTCTGTGGTTCAGGTGGTGCAGATTGTTGTGTTAATCTTCCAATCAATTTTCTAGGTGTGTAGGATGGTTTAGTGTTGGTCTGACTGTATTTCATGGATGCCAGACACATAAAAAGCTTCCACACTGTTCCACCATCTTGGCTCCTCCTTGAGCCCCTCTTATTTGAGCTGACTGAGAACAATCAAAAAGGAAAACTTTTCTTTTAGAAAGCAGAACCTCTCTTTCTTTTCTAGGCTCAAGGGAAAAGCGTTTTAAAAGAGCTTTTTCCACCTTTGCAAATGATCAGAGAAGAGAGCTAATGGCATTGCAGGAACTTAAGGAAAGTAAATCACTGGCTCTAATATTTTTCAGAGTGTTTGTATACCATTATATGCTTCTTGTCCATTCAAAACATCTTCTCTCCACACTTTCCCAAATTTTACCCTGGGTACAACTTAAGTGGTTAAATTTTCTTTTTTAATGTTTTTATTTATTTTTGAGAGAGATAGAGAGAGAAATCATGAGTGGGGGAGGGGAAGAGAGAGAGGGAGACACAGAATCCCAAGAAGTCCCCAGGCTCTGAGCTGTCAGCACAGAGCCTGACACAGGGTTGAACCCATGAATGGTGAGATCACCACCCGAGCCAAAGTTGGATGCTTAACTGACTGAGCCACCCAGGCTCAGTTTATAGAGGCATATAAACTGAAAAGTTAAATTACCAGCCCTTTACACACAGTTCATACAGTGGTAAGATAGAAAGAAGATAATCACGCTAGATACTCCCACTCAGAGAGGAGGAGAGGAAGAAGAGACTCACAGAAATTCTGAAATCCATTCAGGCTCATGTCACCAGTTCCTATGCTCCAGGGTAGAGAACATTTCTTGATTTGAGAGTGGTTCCCCATGACCCTTGGCTCAGCTTGCTGGGGTCTTCTTTCTGCTTGCTTTTTCAGTAAAAATATTTGCCTTTTCTTGTAGCTGAGCAGCTTTATTAGCCTATTTCCTGCTGTAGAAAGTTGAAGGCCCAAAAAGTTTTGAACTGTCTCTTTTAGTCTAAGCTGACAGTAGTTTTAATATTCAAATTCCCTTTAAAATTTTGTGGACCTTCTACATATTAGATTATAGTCATTCCATTAGACAAAAGTCATAGGAACATATATTTTCAGGACAGATCCCTTTCTGTTTTGGAATATGTGACAATACCCTTAAAATCCTTAGAAGCCTAGCTAAGAGTGAGAAGAAACACCTTGAGTCTGTCTTTTTCTTTCTTTCTTTCTTTCTTTCTTTCTTTCTTTCTTTCTTTCTTTCTCTCTCTCTCTCTCTCTCTCTTTCTTTCTTTCTTTCTTTCTTTCTTTCTTTCTTTCTTTCTTTCTTTCTTTCTTTTTCACCTTGAATCTTTCTTATGTCCTAACAGACTTGCAATCATAGTTTTGATCTGACATTTATGCTGAAGCCACATTTTACTGTCAGTGCCCTGGATTTTGTTTTCATCTGATACCGTTTCTTAATTTGATAACTTTTATGCACTCGAGAAGCCGAGAATTGAAAACGAACTCATATTCTAGCTCAGCCAGTTTGGTTTGGAAATAATTTCATTAACTTTGCTTGAAAACTAAATAGTTCCTTATTTTATCCATCTTTTTTTTTTTTTTTTTTTTTTTTTTTTTTACTGCGAAGCCATATCTTAGGCAACTATAAGAAGCCAAATGGTACTTTCAGCATCCTGTCTGGAAATCTCCTTAGTGAGAATCACAGTCATTGGCACATGTTTTATCTTACAAGTTACCAAGGTCACACTTCTTATTAATTTTTGTCAATAAATCAAGTCCACTCTTGTCAAGTTTCCAATAGCAAGTTTCTCAGTAGTCTTCTAGCCAGACCTTTGTCTGCTGCTTAGGTCCAAACCCAATGCCACATATTTCATGTTTTTATGATGACAGTACCCCGCTTTCATGTATTATCCTTTTCTGTTCAAGTTATGTAGTGCTGTGAAATAAACACCCTAAAAAACTTTTGGCTTATAAGAGAAAGTATTATTTCTGATGATTCTGTGCGTTGACTGGGATCAGTTGGTTGGTTGTTGTGCTTCATGTGGTATAACTGATATCACTTAGGTGGTTATGTGAGTGGGAACTTGGCTAAGGCTAACACAACAAAACGGTCTTATCCTTCAAATTAGTCTAGTCCAGGAAGTGTTCCAAGAGAACAAGCTGCAATGTGCATAAGCTTATTAAGAGATCTTCATTAAGCTCAAGGTGGAAGAGACTACAGAAGTATATAAATACTGCGAGTTGTGGTTCACTGAGGGGGGATCGACAATATAATAATCCATCACATGAGTGAATATGTAGATTTAACTAGTTAATGGAATTCCTTGGAAAAATGTATTTTTATTATTTCATTTTATTATATATCTATTCATATCAAGATATATAAACTTGATAATGTAAGAATGTAAGATGTAAGAATGAATAGGACAATATTAGCTTTAGTAATATCTATATAATTTTATAAACCTATTTAATTAAAATTTTGACATGACTGCAAATTTTATAAAACTGAAAGATATCAAGGATTAAAATAATTCATAAAATACATAAATAATTATCAATATTATATACAATATTGTTATATATACCAAAAGGCCACCAGAGAGCGTTTTGAAGGAAAAGATCTAGTTCAAATACACTTACCTGGGTTGATGTCTTCAGTTTTAGAATTCATTGTTTTGAAAAGGAAACTTCTGTTATTCTTTTTTTTTAAGTTTATTTATTTACCTTTGAGACAGAGACAGAGAGAGAGGGGGAGCACACACACACAGGGAAGGGGGAGAGAGAGCGGGAGTGAATCCCAAGCAGGCGCCACACTGTCAGTGCTGAGCCTGACACAAAGGCTCCATCTCATGAACTGTGAGATCATGACTTGAACCCAAATCAAGAGTCAGATGCTTAACCAACTGAGCCTCCCAGATGGCTAGAAGCTTTTCTTATTCTCTCATAAGTTTTTGATCCTAGGTCAAATTAATAATTGTAGTTAAAGTTTACTTTCTGGAGGTTTGGACTGATATATATATCTATCTCTGTATCTATCTATCTAGATAGATACAGAGATAGATATATTTCTTTGAAAAACTATTAAACTCGTTATAAATAAGAGTTTCTTAGATACCTTAAGATTCTATGCAAATAAAATTTCATAGCTTAGTGCTTCTCAACCTTTTTGTTTTTTGGTATCCATATGGTAGTGGAGGGTGCTCAAGAACCCAGAGCTTGTGCCTCCAATCTCCTAGATCCAGTGATCCCTGCCTCACACTCTTGTGTAGTTCTTACCCCTATTATACCAGCATTGTTCTGTATAAACAATAGAATACATCATAAAATGATGGAATATTACTTCTGAGATTATTTTCTAAAAGACATTATGACTTCCTTCTTGAACATTCTCTCTCTCTCCCTTTCCCTCTCCCACAGTCACCCTCATTCTCACCCTCATACTCACTCTCTCTTTCTCACCACACTACAGGTCTATGTGGTAGGGAACTGAAGCCTCCTGACAACATCTATGTGAGTGAGTAAACTTGAAAACAGATCCTTTATCCCTAAATGACTGCAATACTGGTCAACAGCTTGACTACAGCCTATGAGATGCCTGAGATAGAACTTTCCTGTTAAGCTTCATCAGAATCTTGACCCTCAGAAACTGTGTGAGGTAGTAAATGCTTGTCACTTTAAGTTTCAAGATTTAATTAGTTTTGTACCAATAGCGAACTAATATATGGATAAAAATATCTTTGCCTTATATTTTATGAAAACAAATCATGTGAATTCTGTCTTTATGTAATATTCAGTTTTAATATAAAATAATGCTTCAGATTACACTCTATAAGTTAGACTGATGTTTTAAGAAGATTGCCCTCTTTATCCTTTTTTTTTCCCCCTTGGGGGCCCTGGTCAAAACATCTGCTTTCAAACATCCTTATATTACAAATGTCAAATATAAAATGCAAAATACCCAGGATTATTTTTAATGAGAAATGTCTTGCCTACATGGAAAAAAAAACTAAAATTTTTTTTTTCTGAAAAAGCAAAATGAAGATATGAAATAGGGAGATAAATCTTCCCAAATTTATTAATAAATCTGGAGTAATTCCAAAACAAAAAGAGGAGATAGCATAATATAATGCATAAGAATTCTTGCTCTAAAGTCAAATGGCCTGAGCAACCTACTGACTCTAACATTTACCGGCTCTGTGATAGAGAGCAAATTATTTAATTCTGTGTGCTTCAGTATAGTCACCACCTTTGAGCAGAATAAACAAGACAATCAAAATGGAGAATGTCATCATTTTTATTGTGATGATTCTATCCTAAGAAATACTTTTACACTTATGCAAAGACATATGTATAGAAGTACTTACTATGCTGTTCATGGTAGCAAAAAATTCAAGACAATTTTAACTTCTATTATTAGAGCATTTGTTAAAGGGAGTCAAAAGTCACTCATACCATGATATACTATGCAGCTGTTACAAACAATGGGTTTTATAGTATGTATAGTGATATAAAAATTGCCCACTTTACATTAAGTGAAAAAAAAGCTAGATATATATCATTGTGCACACTACCATCCCATTTGTTATAATAATATCAAGAGAGGTGTGTGTGTGTGTGTGTGTGTGTGTGTGTGTGTGTGTGTGTGGTGAGAAAGGCAAATCAGTTTTTCTAGGAATAGAGACAAGATTTCATATACAATAGGTAACAGTGATTACCTTAGGGGTGTATGTTAGGGAAGTGGAAGTAGAGACTTTCACTTTCTGCTTTTTATCCATCAGTCTTTTCAAGTACAAGTGACAAAAAAAATGAACAAATATTTGCTTATGCAACAAAGAAATTTATTAGCTCATTTTAACAGGAAAGCTAGCAAGAAACGAGGCTTCTGGGTTGATTGACTCACTGGCTCAATTATGTTATTGAGGAACCACATGTTTTCCTGTTCTTCTGTCATCTACTATTCACATCATCCCTCATGACTGTAGAATGATTGCCAATAACAGAAGGGACTCTACACTTTTTCAAGGATGGTAGAAATTCCATCTCACTGAAGAACAACGATTCCAACAATCCTATTTTGTGTTCCAAAGCCAAAGTTTAATCGCATAATGATTGCTCAGTGAATTACTGACAAGGCGGATGCTATTGCAGATGCTATTGCAGTTCAACCAATCAGGCTCACCCCTTAAGCTCAAGTCAGTTTCCTAAACTGCATTGGTGCTATTCAACCAACATGTCTGCAATAATATTGCTAATTACTGCAATTATTATACGATAAGATGAACTACTTTTTAAAGTATAAAAAATAATGCAAAACTTAGAGATAATTCTTGTATGTTTAACTTTCATCCAATCGTCTGCTAAAATTTTATTTAAATCCAGAAAATAGTTCTAAAATTTCTTTAGATGATTATAAAAGTGAATACAATGGGGAGGCAGAGATATTTATGACAGTTTATGATGAAAGTGAAGATACTTTATCATTTGTATTGTATAAAGTAGTATTATTTTCATAGTTTATCTTTGCTTTAAAAAATAGTGAAAGGACACTAGTACACTATTACCTCTAAAAGTATAAGTAAGGGACATTTTTAAAACTAGAAAAGAAAGAAATGTAAGGTAACAAGTTTTTTCTCAGCTATGTAAATCTTAAAGTTCAAAGAGGAGCAACAAAACAAACCCAAAAACAAAACAAAACAAAACAAAACAAAACAAAAAATCTTTGACTCAAAAAGAATTTTTAAAAAAAAATTTAATGTTAATTTATTTTTGAGAGACAGAATATGAGCGGGGGAGGGGCAGAGAGAGAGGGAGACACAGAATCCGAATCAGGCTCCAGGCTCCTACCTGTCAGCACAGAGCCCGACGTGGGGCTTGAACCCATGAACTGTGAGATCATGACCTGAGTTGAAGTTGGACGCTTAACTGACTGAGCTACCCAGGTGCCCCAACTCAAAAAGAATTTAAAAAGTGGTATAAATATCGAATGTTTGAATGCTAATTCAAAAAACCCCATTCTCAATGTAGCAAGACAACACTATTGTTCAGATCTTTTAATATCTAAGAGGTATATCTAAGAGGTAATATCTTAGAGGTATCTAAGAGGCTGAGGAGATAATAAAATTCAAGGGTTGAGAAGGCCAAGATTATTCGTGAGATTTATTATATAGAATATAATGCTAAGCATTTGTTTGAAAATTCATTTGCTGCTTTCTGTGGTACAGTGGCTTTTAATGAATTACTTACCTGTTTTCTATATCTAAGTTATAGCTCTACTACAAAAGATCTACAGCTATGGTAAATTAAAACTGATTTCTCAGTTCTTTGGAGACTATGGAATGCCAATTAATAATTATTATGTGGAATATAAATGAAAGAAATATTTTTAAGTGATAGTTCCCCTTCCTAGTAAAACCAACAGCAACATATGTTACAAAAATTAAATGAATTTAATCAGGTTTATCTCCCCAAAATTGCCTCAGGTGAAAAATTAATTTTCCCATGATGAATATTTGCTTTGATTTTGTAATAAGAAATGAAAGAAAACAACAATACTGTCAAGTTCTCATTTCTAGTTCTGGTTTTGTCTGAGAATAGTTTAAACAGCATAATTTAAGAAAAGCTGCATTAATAAAATTCCAAATCATTCCTTAAGGCAGTTCTCAGTGAATGTGGCAGACACAGCCATCTGTTTGTAAATGTTTAGTGGACTCAATGCATAGAAATCCAATCAGAACGCCCAAGTATTTGTGGGTAAGAGTAGACTAAAATATTCTATATTTTCATCCAGCTTTTTAAATTGATATTTTGTTAATGGTATTTCACAAATACATCCTTTTCAGATAAGAAACCAGGGAAATATCTCCTGGTAAGGGACCTCTTGAATGGAAACCCACATTTTTATTATTTTAACTGCTTCCTTGCTTTCTTCTCCATAGAGCTCTTCTTTCAGGAAGCCCTCCTGAACCTACACCCTCTATCTTGAGCTGGTTTACATGCTCTTACCCTTGCTTCCTAAAATACTGAGAATGTAACTATATCACTGTACCACTCACTAGGTTGATCTAGAATAATACTTTTCTACCTGAGCCCATGAAGTAACTGCTATGGATTTTGGAATGGTAGGATTTTTTATGAGAATACCCAAAATAGATTTTAAAGTAGAGACTTTTAAAAGTAAAATATTTTCCTACAAATTATGTGGCCCCTTTGTTTCTGGAGAGGTTGGGAAGTGAAAAACTGCATTTCACAGACCTGCCCAAGAGGGTGATGCATTGTCATATGATTTGGACAGTGAAACTTAGGTGTCATGGCAAGCAAAGTCATGGACACCAGAGAGCATAAAGGCATTTTGGGAACCCCACATTCAGTTTCCCAGACTTTAGCTACCAGCATTATGTGGATGAGAGGCAGTTTTGACAATAGGGGCAGACTGATGTTCGTTGGATTACAGCTTTAGTGATGGACCATTACATTTAGGAATCCAGTGGCTGATCCTGACTTCCATTCCTTACCTGGTCAACGATTTTCAAAGATACAATTCCCTGAATTAGAATTACTTTCTGCTGGAGATACTTTGGAAAGGTTTTGCTTCCTCTGCTAATCCAGAACTGATACATACTTGTTATAGTCTTCACTTGCATGTCTTTTCCTCTGCTAGACAGCAAACTCTCTTTATGTATAAGGAGGGATAGAACTTGTCTTTGTTCATTCTTTAATTCATTCCTTATTTCACTTCAAGTATATACTCTTTATATTTGTATGTTTTGCAATTACGTATTTGACACAGAGCAGCACAGCAAATACCCTCTTAATGAATTAGTAAATGTGTTATGTCAGGAAATGTATAAGATACTAGAGATAGAGAGATGAGACATACTTAGGAACAATAAAATGATAAATTACATTATTAAGTGCTTATGTGTCAGGCTCTATGTGCAGCATTTTACATGCATTGATATGATATTCATTTTCGGCTTGTTTGGTTTTATGTTCGTTTGTTTTCTAATTCTTATAGCATTCTTAAGAGCTAGGTGCCAATTATTTCTTCCCATTTCACACATAAGGCAACAGAAGATGGACGAGGTTAAATAAATTGTCCAACTTAACAGTACTGAAGTAAGTTAAACTCAAACCTAGGCAATCTGATTCAGTAATTCACACTCTTTAGTCAGTATTCTGAGATCTCTAATATAGCGGCCAACAGGTTCATAGATTTAGGATATTACTTGATAAATTCCACAATACCTCAGCAAGATCAGAAGAGGCTTACATGTGAAGAAAGAGAGACTTAGTACTGAAGTATGAAGGATTAGCACAAGTTAGGGATAAGCAGAAGTGATAAAGATGCTGTTTTATGCGGAAAGAAGTACACATACCACAAAGGGACAAAAGAGAAAACAGAGAGTATTGCTGAGACAGCATGGGGATTACCATGAGGCTTAGTGAAGAGGGGTGAAAAATAGACAAAGAGAGGCGAAGCAGGACCGACCATGAAGAGTCAGGTATACATTTCTAAGAAATTAAAGATTTTTTTTTTTAATGAGGGCCACAGCATGTTATTGAAGCATTTAAAATCCTTTGAGAATATTTCCATTATAAAGAGATCACTTTGGAGCAATGTGGACAATTTAGAAGTTATTGTGTGGGGTGAGATTGGAATTGGGAATTACAGTAATTCAAGTAGAAGTAATTCTTACTTTTGGGCTCACAGAATTGAACATAAGGACTGGCAGCTAATATGAGAACAATCCATATTCACCAAGTCGAATTGAACCTAAGTAACCTGAGGATCAGAGAAGTTTAATTACTTATCAAAATTTACACAGCTATTTGGTGGTAGAACTGGGATAAGAATTTAATCCATTGCCTTCTTTTACTTTAAACAGAATGTGGGAAAAATTAATTGCATATATATCATTTGAAATATGAAAAATTTTTCTATGTGTATCTAGAAATATACTTGAAAAATATACACAGGTGTAAAGTTATGGTAAATCTCATTTCTTGGTTTTCCTTACTGTGTGCTTATTTTCTGAGTCCATAATCTCAAATACTCAAGTTTCTACTGTCCAAGTGATCTCTGAAGTCACTCCTCTTGCTAGATACTCCTCTCACACCCAAGTTTCCAAGCTTTCTTTTAATGCCTAAGGGAAAAGTAATGAGATGGGAAAAGAAATTTGGGCTGGGGAAAAATTACCACCACAACCATTAGCTATTAAGACATATTGTTAGAAACTTACTGTAAAACCTATGAATTATTGAATCAGATTGCCCAGGTTTA